ATGCGGAGTGCGGGCTGCGCGGGGGGGGGGGGGGCGTACACAATAACCTAACGGGGCCGGGCAGGGCGGTGGGGCGTTCGCCACCGGTGTGGCGGCAGGGCAGACACGTGCTGGGCCGTGCCGCCGCGCCGACAGTGTGCCGACAGGGCCGACACAGGGGGGGACCCGTGCCGGTAAGAAAGGCCCCCCGCCCCCCGCGCACCCGGCGGCTGGCTGGCTGGGTGGAAGGAGAGGAAGGTGTGACCGGAAACGCACGGAAATAGATTGGGAAAAGGGGGTGGCGGGCGGCGGGGTGCTCCGTCCCCGTCGCACTCACGGGGCTCGCCGTGGCGGTGCGAGAGAGACAGACCGCTCTGCTGGATCGCTGGCGGCTGGGTCCCCGGGTCCCCCCATCGGTGTAGAGTAACGAGAGGGCGGGCGGCAGACGGAGGAGCGTTTGGGGGAAAGGACCTACCTCCACGCACACCTACGCATAACGCCACACACACGCCCCCACCGACACCAACACAAACACACGCGATGCGATCCCATTCTAACCGGAGCGCCGCGGTGCCGGCCGTGCCACAGTGTGCGCCACAAGGCGGTGCCGCGGTCGGCAGATGGCGCCGAGTCCACGCCAAACTAATGGAGAGCACGGCACGGCACGGCACGGCACGGCGCACATGGCCGAGCCGAGGCAGCGCGAGGCCCTGCAGCAGACTGATTCCGAGAGTCGTTTTCGTCGCTCTGTCTCTCTCGCACTCGCAAGAGCGTTGCGTATGGGTGCGAGAGAGACAGAGCGACGACTCTCGGACGGAATCAGTCTGCCGGCCGCCCTGGCCGCGCACACACACGTCCCCGGGGAGGGACTTCTCCTCCCCCGCAGTCCCCGGCAGTCCCCGGCAGTCCCCGCACTGGATCAGCAGCCAGGAAGCACTCCAAGTAGTGCGTCGGCGCGGCCTCCCCCCTCATTCCGAAGGGAGTAGTTGCTCGGGGACGACGCAACTCTTAATCCGATACGAGAGAAGGATGGGTTTTGCGGCATGCAATTATACATGCAGCTCCCCCCTCCTCTCTCTCTCTCTCTCTCTCTCTCTCTCTCTCTCTCTCTCTCTCTCTCTCTCTCTCTCTCTCTCTGCTCCAGCTTTGGGGGGCAAAAGAGCGGGAAATGAGAAAGCAGATCAAAAATGTGTGATATCAGCGATACTGTCGCGTTCATTTTCAAAGAGCACATCTAAAATTTTAAATTGAAATCCTAGTTTTCGACACATGCCACTTTTTCTCTCTTTCTCTTTTTTAAGGGGTGGACTCGAAATGCCTTTCCCGCAGGTCACACCTTCGCCTCCTCTTTCCGAGGGGCTCGAAAAGCCCAAAGCATTCCGGCAGACGCTTGGCAGGAACACACCAACAACAGCCGAACCAGGGATAGGCAACAGATGTCCAAAATACTGACACCATTCGTCAAAAACGTTTCCGAAACGACAACAACGCCGCTTTTGCCGGCGGTCGGTGTTACGAACATAATGGACGGTGGTCTTGCCGCCCAGCGTACACACTTCACCGCATTAGGGGCGAATTGGAAATGGTAAGGGTTGAAAAATGGGGTGGGGGAGGGAGGAAGAGAGAGAGGAAGAGAGAGAGAGAGAGAGAGAGAGAGAGAGAGAGAGAGAGAGAGAGAGAGAGAGAGAGAGAGAGCGGCGACCCGATACACCCAAGTGTCAAGTCGGACACGCTACATGCCGGTGCGGGTCCGCGGAGCAGGGGGATGACGAGGCGCCAAAGGGGTTGCTCTCTCTCTCTCTCTCTCCCCCAGTGGAGCAGTTGGCGCCGTCCCCAGAGGCCCAGAGGGTTTTGCCGCTTCATCCCCTGTGTGTTTTCCGCATGTGGTCCGCGCGGCGCCGAGCAAGGCCGAGCGCACGTGCAGCTGTGCCGACACCCACGCAATCAGGGCATTCTTGCACACTGTAATCCCCCTCCCCCCTCCCCCTATCCTCGTCCAGAAGAAACCGCGGGCGTCATGCCGCGGCGCTGGCTGCGCTAAGCTCTGCCTTTCAAGACGGACGGGACAGCATTTGATCGCTGGCTCGCGCTAAACCGATCAGCGTGACACACAAAGCGGGCGGCACACTGCTGTCGCGAGTCGCAGGGGGTGGCGCCATGCCGCCGAGACATCGATTGAGACATCGATCGAGACATCGATATTGCAACCGACTGGAACAGCGTTGATGAGTGGCTGTCCAGCCGGGATGCCGAAACGGCTCGATATCGACTGAGGTTTCCTATCCGATATCGAATCGGTTGCGATTTAGATAGGACGTCAATTCGGCGTCCAATTCAAATTGCTGTGACGTAGAAGATCCTCAGGCGATGTCGTTTCTCCATGGTTCTACCCAGGATCAGTAGACATGCCTTTCGTCTGTTGCTCCATCCTCATCCTCGCGCCAGCGACGCGAGCGCGCCCTGGTGGCGCGATCAGACATCGCGCTGCGCGAGCGAGCCGACCGAGTCAGTTGGGTGGCCTACCCGACGGCCCGACAGGCGCTCCGTGCCCCGGCCGCGTCGGTTCGGTGGCCTACCTGCCCGGCGCACTGGCGCCTTGCGACTGGCGCACGCCCGGGCCGCCAGACTTGGCTTACTCCGCCGTGAATCACGAGGGACCGCGAGCTTGACATGGGTGGGCGTGCGGCTGGCTGGGCAGTCCGTCGCTCCGTCTCTCGCACCCACCTTGGAGTAATACTGTGGGGAGTCCTAACTGGCGCGGCGGTGGGCCGAGCTGTCCTGACGCATGCTAGAGCAGAAACCACCGGTCGGAAAGCACTCCATGAAACGACCGAATTCATCGATGATGATTACATCCCGTCCATGCCTCGCCTTCTATCCTTTTCAAAACCAGAACTTTCTAAGTTGCCCCAGTCGGAGCTATGGTGGCAAAGTCAGAAACATCTCTTCTCTCTCTACGATTCGCCGGACACCTAGTACCACGCACAAGAAACGCCCTGAACTCCGAAACGGTATGGGTTAGCTCCAATCTGTGCATCCCGTAAATCCTCACTCTTTGTGACAAGATGAGCTATTGGAAAGTCTCTAAGTTGAAAATCAAGCCTTCAGGGCGTGGCAAACAGAAGTGCAGCTCTGTTAGGACCCTAACAGTATTACTCCAAGCACCTCACCGGGCGCCCCAGAGTGCGAGAGAGACAGCGACGACTGGTCAGGGAGATACGGTCCACGGACGGGACGGGGGAAGGGCGGCTAGGGCGGCGTGACGACTGCGGCTGCGGCACGCTCCGTCTCTCTCGCACCTTCGCGGGGCGCCCCATGTGTGCGAGAGAGACAGAGCGATGGCTCTGGGAGCCAATCAGCAGCGTGCCAGCGTGCGGCCGAGCTGCTCCTGTTATCTGCAGGAGAGGGGCATTGGGCATGGCACTGTAAGTCGGAAGGCAAAGCGAAGGCGAAGGCGCTCCTACACTGCCGAGCCATTGCGGCGCTCTGTCTCTCTCGCACTCATGGGGCGTCCCATAGGGGTGCGAGAGAGACAGAGCGACGAAGTGATCCACGCCAAGGCGCAGCCAACAACCCTGCGACGGGCCACTAAGAACGACAGGCGGGAGCTTTGTCAGGGGGACTTTCCAGTACTATGCTCCACTGTCGACAGGAGCAAATACACTCTGGTTGCAAGAGTCGTAAAACAGCAGAGATCTCATTAGTCGCATGCGTTAGTTACCCCATCTGGGACCATTCTAAGAAAGATTGTGGTGAAGGCAACAATGCGGCTGAGCTCTGAGATGACAGTCTTCAAGGCCCCAGCTTCAGCGTTAGCTTGAGAAAATACGATAGAAGTTAAAAGACAAAGATGATGGTGAAACAAGGTGCCTTGTCGGAATGGGATTTCCCTCACGAGGCAGCATAAAGATATCCAACCACATTGGAATTCACCGAAAGTGCTGCGGTGAAGTACTTGGAGCATGATGACAACATATAAAGGAATGTCTAAGTGCCTACCCATTAAAGCCATTACTAGGGTTGATACATTAAATTGGGCCATTGTTGACATTCATCGGAAAGGAACGACAGGGAACATACTCAAGAATGAAACGACGCACAGAACATTTTTTAGGCTGGCATTCAACATGTGCACAACCATCTGCTAGAATGCAATATCCCCTTCTGAACTTTGTACTGTGAAGCATTAAGTTGACAGTTCAGCTAACGTTTCGTCGAGTCATAAATGTGTGATGCAGCCAGCCAGTCCATACCCCACCATGCAGTACACGATGGAGCATTTTAAGCCGACCAACTAGAGCAGAATGGCATGGTAAGGACTGGACCAGTGACTGCGGACATTTCCTTGGTGGTTCCGACCGTCCTGACACCAATCATCGTCGTTGTTTTCGTTTAAATAAAGATTTCGGCAACGAACGGGACGGCCCTAGAGGCCGCTAGCAGAAAAGAAGTGTCACTAACCTTGCCCAAAGGAGCTGCCGGTCTGACCCATAGTGACTTCGTCGATGTTTACCGTCTTCAGTGGAAATTGACATAAACCGGCTATTGAAACGGTGAACACTTGGTAAAAATCATTCTTCTCATGCCAATAAAAGCTGAACACTATGTACCAAACCAAAACAAACGGTCATGCACCCGGGAGACACGAAGATTGAAAATAGCCGTTTGAACGACACCGAGGTGTTGACTGAACTTTTTGTGATTACCTGAATATGCGTCCTGTCGAACTTCCTCAGAAAAGTGGGTTTCAGTATTGTTCCTTACGATGCGAACAACAGATGAACTGCTGAGCAAACAAGTAAAATAAATCACAGCGGAGTGACATGTGGTCACGCAGCGTTGGCAGCAGTGCCCCACTATTAGCAGCAGCGACTACACTATCAATAACGATATCAGAGGCGGAAAATTCAAATTCAAGAAACCGATTTGTCTTTTGCCTCGGCTCGGCTATGCAGGTTTATCGAGGCTTTCTTTACAAAAACTCTTCGAAAAAGGCCGTTGAAGTAAACCAGGATGCAATCTACAATGCAATTTTAAGGCACTCACTTTATTTCACTTTATATAATTACAAAACATGTCCAATTTAATTTACTTCATCACTGTACCATTGCATTTACACAACAGACTATCATAAAATTTGATCTCAGAAAAAACATTTAAACAAGCAGAACAATAATAGAGCCTTACAAAGCGGTTATTGTATGCAAAGAGCACAACAGATACCTTTAACTACCAGTACTAGGATTTTCTTTCAGTCCACAATTTTTCTTTACGTCCAGGCTAGACCACTGGCTTCAAACTGACAAATTTGCTTTTACAAATATCATCAATTACCTAAACCACATCATAAAACAACAGGAACCCTGTAGGTGTTACATTACATAATTGTACTTACAAAGATAAGTCAGACATTTGTAAAAAATACAAGTCTTAGTCTACAGAGGAAAATCAAAGTTGGCAGCTTTAGCTTTGAGTAATAGTAGTTTTGAGAGTCAATTGCCCCTATGGCAAAGCACACCTTTTCGACCAATAGGATAATAAGCAAAAAATTGAATGGCTTTAATGAGAGAAGAACGGCATAACTATAATCAAGAAGACATCAGTCACATATCGACAGAATTTGATAACTACTATAGACTTTACCCTTAAGGAGTAGAATAATTTTTAACTCTAAAACATAAATGACAACAATAAAAGTATTACAGCAATTAAAACATAACACAATCTTATAGTGAACCATGTATTCCATGGTAACAGTATCAACACAAACCATATATAAAACTTAATGAGAATAAAAATAGCACCTTGAGCTCAGCAATTCAAATGGACGGAAGAAAGTTGCAAATAAACATAACATAGGATTTTCTGTAGCTGCATCATTTGCAATCCATTCCATTCCAGCTTTTAGGTGCAAAGAGAATTATCAGCCACTGGCAAATGAAGCCTGTTAAGATTCAATAGTTGGCCAAAGCAGTAATATACTGCAATTCGAGATTTACACAGTATCTGTACAAAATTCACAGACTTTCTAGATTTCTACATTCAAGTGACACATAATGTTAAGCTTTTATAGAGCACAAGCAGTAAAGAGACTTACGAAATTTTGAGAAACAGGCTAAAAACAATAGGGTCTAATGAAAGATGAAAGAGTTTGATCATGAAACTAAATTGGTAAAAATATTACAGATCAAAAGGAAGTCAACATCAATATCACATGAATTGCATTTTTTTGCTGTTAAGTATGCAATGTAATCTTGGAGCAAAGTGTCACAAAGTTGCACTTTACAATATCAAGCAAACATTTCACGTGCCTACTTTTGTTAAGTTTTTGAGCATTGAGAGTTTGTACATTATGAAGATCATAATTGAGGCTTAAATACTGCTTCACAAATTGAACCCAGGCTTACATTAACCAACTTCGGTTACTTTAAAACCATCACACAGCCTGTTCAAAATATTTTCCACATTTTTAATTTCTTCATGGTTACGCAATGGAACCCTTCCTCTCATCCCCGTTTCCTTGCATTTCTAGCTCTCGTTCATCTGGGCAAAAAATAACAAGTGACAGTGGGACACAGGATGTTAGTGAGGAGTAGCCAAAACAATGGAATACACTGAGTACTAACCGACTGCTTGGTCATCCTTGTCACCCAGATGGTCTCCTCTGTGCTCAGACTCCTTTTCCTCTGCATGGTAGGGCTCAGGAATGTTCCTTACCTCATTTTCTGCCACTGCATCATTTTCAACTTTCTGAGGTACTGCAGCTGTGCAAAATATAGAAAAAAAGAACAGTTTTAGTATAAATTTGGCAAGATTAAATGCATTAGATGGCTCAAACTGACAGCACCTGTGCTAGATGAAGTTTTCTTTGGTGCATTTTCTACTTTTTCCTGAAAACAAAACAAAAACATCAGGAAACAGAGCAAGAATACATAAACCTGACATGGATATCTGTATAATACCTTCAGTTGACTTTCAAGTTTTGCAACCTGATCCTTAAGTTCCTGTATCTGAGTGGTTAGGTCGGTTTTCTCAATACGCATGGAATCTATAGTGCCACTTTTGGCAATATCAACTTTTTTTAAGGAATCCTGCAAGGAAAATTTTAGTTACATGGTTACTAAAGATGTGTGTAAAACGTACCAGTTACAATGTGGATGGAACAGAAACTTACCAGCTCAGTGACACACATTTTCCATTTGGTGTTGGCACCATCGAACTTCTTCTCGGAAGCAAGTGTTTCTTTGTTGCTCTCCTTCAGATTGCCTTCGAGTCTCTGGGCAGTTTGCTTTTCGGACTCAACCGTCTGTACTAGTTTATCATTGTCCTCTTCAAGGCGCTTAACTCTACCTTCAAGTGTTGATCGGTCTCGTCGGCATTGATCCAACAAATTGGAACTGTAATAAAAGAAATGCGAAATTAGTTTATAAAGTTAATCCAGTAAAACTTCAGGTCATTGGTCATTATAAATGTGAACTAAGTTAATGGAAAACAATTCTGGTATTGGAGATGAGCAGAGTCAATGCAAAGTATGTTTCGAGGGAAAAAAATGAGAGCCAAGACATAACCGAAGCGAATAGTTGCTAATGAAGTCACTGATCTGAAACGTGTCAATCTGACAGGCCAACGATGACGCCCACCTCACCTCGATTTCATGTGCTGGCTCAGGTCGTCAATCTGCTTGAGCAAGTCGAGGTTCTCTGTTGACAGGGACCACCAGTTAAACAGGAGGAACAGGGACAGCAGGGCGAAGCAGGCGATCAAGAAGTGGCCGCGTCCGCCGCCACCGCGCAGCAGGTCCACGCCCATGGCTAGCTTGAGCTTGGACAGAATGGGCCGCAGGGCCGCGCAACGTGCGTGCCGAGCACCAAGGCGAAACCCCTTCGCAATCACAAATCCGGCTGACAAGACGCGACGGCGCTTGGGCTTGGCCTGGCCTCTAACCTCCACAACAACAGTAACAACACACAGTCGCGGGGGCGGGGGAGAGGGGGGTGGGGGAGGGGGAGGGGGAGAGGGCGTCCAGGGGGCGTCAGTAAACAGACGAGCTCGGTGTGCATGACCTGACCGCTGGTTAGGTTAAGAAGCACCCCTTATCTTTCTTTACTTGACGAATTCTGTCGTGTGCATTCGTACAAGGTGGATCGCGTTTCAAGTACTTGGAACATGTTTGGCTGGAAGAAGTACACAGAAAAATGGCAACAAAATACTCTTTTTGTTTTTAGTTTGAAGGGAAAATGGTGACAGTAATTTACAGTGCGTATGGGTAAAAGTTAAGAAAACAACAAACAACAAAACCAGTTGATATAAAAAATTAGAGGCGTTTTGCCTGAACTTTTTTTTTGCGTCATTAACATCTTAAACTAATCGAAACGCGCTATTAATACCAGTCGATCCCCAAATCCTTGGACTTCCCCGGAACGAGATCTGATAAAGTTCCTATCGACCTAGTACTTGATTCATGACATTTGTTGAACATTTTTATTAGGATTAAATTGAGCTACCGAGGTAAACACGAAGTTTATGTCTCTAGAACACAAACTTGGTTGCTTTCGATTTTGAAAAGAAATCGATTAGCCCGTTGTTGAACCTGAGAAGTTACCGCGGGGCGGGTGAACAGACGGTGGAGTCTGGGAAGTCCAGGGATAAGCAGAGATAGAGTAGCAAAGCAAGGCAGTTACTTCAAAAGGTAGCGCCTGGCTGTGAGGAGGGTAGGCAACCCCTCCTGCAGCCGTGAGGCGCGGCACAGACTACCTTGCATTCTGCGGGCGCTCTCCCTGCCTCTCGCACGCTTTGCACGGCCCCGTCCGCGTTCCACGTCCTCGGCGTGTCAGCTTACTCTCGCTCGGCCTTGTGCTCGGTCGTCCCTGGAGCGCCAACTCCGAGTGCAAACAAACCGAGACAAACCTCGCGCCTCGCGGGCAGTGGCACTTGACGGGGCACTTGGTGTCACCTTGAGGCGTGCCTTGAGACGTCTGGAGAAGTGGGGAAGTGACTTTGACGACAATGTTTTTGATTGCCAATGAATTGAGCTAGGCCGAGGCTCATGTTTACAGGAAGTGCCTCCACGCCGGCCTCCGCCAGTCTCTGACCTGCATTCAGCGGACTAGTGCTAGCCGCTCGTTGGTGGGACGGCGGCCCGCGGGGTCGGCAGTTGGGTCGGGTTTAGTGCGGCTCGGCACCGGTGTGAGCCGGCGACCCTTCCCCCGACCCATCACCGACCCTTCCCTGCCCTACGGCATGCCTACGGATGAACGAGGCGCGCGGGCCGTCCTCCACTGTGTGTGCAAATCAACGCGACGCAGTCGCGGGACGGACAGGCCCCCCGGGGGCAGCAGGGGGGGGGGGATCCTGCGAGAACCGGCTGTGCCATGCCGCCACCAGGGCCCTGGCCGCCCCCGCTGGAGGGGGGCGGAGGGGGGCCGACGGGGACCCGGCCGGCTCGGCCTCCGCGCTGATGACTAGCCCGTGCTGCTCCAGGAGGACCTCAGTCAAGCGGCAAGCAGCGGCAAGCCCAGCAGTCCACGCATCGCCCCTTCGCCCGCCGACCGCCGCCAACCCCACCCTCACCATGAAGCTAGTGTTGACCTTTGCCTGCGTCGCCCTGGGTAAGCCACGTCGCGGGTTCGACTCCCGGTAGTGCCCTTCCCCCTTTTTCGCGTTTCCCAGTGCAGGCGAGCGAGCTTCGAGACTTTGTTGAGCCGCCAAGGCGGAGGCGGTGGATTCGCGTCCCGGTCGCTCTGTCTCACTCGCGCCCTTCAGGAGAGCCCTGCGAGTGCGAGGGAGACAGCGACAGTCGTTCCGCTCCATGTCGCACGCGCGGACTTTGGCCACAGTGCTGACGCCGCGGCTGAGGCCCGCGCCGGTGGCGCCGGGCACGCGTATTCCAGGCGGCAGCCTCGCTCTGTCTCTCTCGCACTCGCGGGGCGTGCCGTATGGGCGCGAGAGAGACAGAGCGACGGGGCCGCCGTTCGGGAGCAGCCTGCAGGGGCATCCAGGCGGTACCCGCGATCCAAACTCACCTGCTGGCGGGGAGTAGCGACGCCGGCAGATGCCGATCAGGGCTCTCGCACCGTGGGCCTGAAGACCGGTGGAGGCGGACAAAACTCTAGACGCGTTTTGAGCTCCAGAGTCGCTAAATGGAACTCGAACCAAACGTGTGACCCGCCAATGGATTCCTCGTTCGGAGAGCAATCCATTGGTGGGGTCACACGTTCGGTTCGACTCCCAGCGACTTTAGAGCTCAAAACGCGTCTAGAGTCTTGGCCGCCTCCACCTGTCTTCTGGCCAGCGCGCGACCAGCAGACGACGCTGACTTAACGCTGTTGTCCCTTCCCCCCAGCGGCCCTCTGCCTGAGCGCGGACGCCCTCAAGACCACGGCGCCCACCAAGACGTGCCCCAAGTGCGACGGCGTCAAGTACGAGCCCGTGTGCGTGAGGATGGGCGGCTCCGACAAGGAGCCCAAGCTCACCACCTTCGGCTCCGACTGCGTGCTGCAGGCCTACACCTGCGAGAAGGGAACCAGTAAGTCCATCGGTCTGATTCTTGGTCTGATTGGCCTGTCGGACAGTCCGCCGTGAGGACTCATTGCGAGAGCCGTCTCCGTCGCTCTGTCTCCCTCGCACCCATAGAAACGCTGCATGAGTGCGAGAGAGACAGAGCGACGAAATCGGCTCTCGGAATGAGTCTCCTGGCTCTTTTCAGCAGTGCCACTCATGCCTGACTCTGTTCCGCAGCCCTGTCCATCCACAAGAAGGGCGAGTGCCCTCCCGGCAGCCCCGTGCGCCTGTCCTAGGCACTGACGTCACCACCACCATCGCCATCACCATCAACGCCATCACCAACGCCACGGACAACGGCAGGGACACGCTGGAACTCATGAGCTGCTGAAGGGTCCATGGGGCCCCATGGACAAAGAACGGATCGGTCACGATTTCCAACCATTTTGTAATTTTATTTTCATCGATTTTCTTATCATTATTTTGTAGGACGTAACGATATAAACGACTTTCTCAATGTAACACAATCTGTACTTCATTTCGAGTGCGCTCGGGGTCCCTATCCTCACTCAGCAGTCCCGCACAGAAGGGCAGCGTGCTGGCGAGCCGAAGTTCAAGTGGCCGAAGCGCCTGTGATGGAGCGGGTAGCCAGCCCCGTTACACAGGCAGGGCGAGCGGGCTGCCTACCCGCCGCACCGCAGGCGCTAGGCGCTCGGCCGCGCTCGGCCGCATCTTAAGAGGTTCTCAACCTTGTGGTCACGGAACATGTTTACGGCCCATGGAGACAAGTAGAGACATGTCAGAGACATTTTCCAGACATATTTAACGCGTTTCCTCTAAAAGGCGGACCCGATCTCTTGCAAAAATTACCCACGCAAACAACAACAAGAGAAGCAACAACAACGCCCACGCTCCGGGCGACGGCCGACTGCCCCGCCAAGCTAGGCCACCCTTTCGGCGCGGGCCGTGCGGAGGGGTGGGGGAGGCGCCGGCAGGTGAGGCCGCCCTGGCCAGGCCGGGACGGCCGGTAGCGCGGCGGCGAGCGGAGGGGGGCGGCAAGATGCCCAGCCCGTCCAGACGCCCGCCCAGACACCGGTGCCTTGAGCCGCGGTCCGAGTGCCGCCGTGCCGTGCCGCCAGTCGAGTCCAGGCGCGAAACCGCGACGCCACGCGACGCCGCGCCGCGCCTCGTCGCCGCAGCCATGACTAGTGCCAAGACGGAGCAGGAGGCCGGCGGCGTGGCCGACGTCGAGGAGAGCCGGCCGACGCTGCGGCTGTGCCGCATCCTGAAGCACGTCGCCAACGCCACCACCGCGGCCGCCGGAGCGCCGTCCTGCGGCTTCCACATCAGCCGCACGCAGTGGGACCCGTACCCCTGGGTGTCCGCCGTGGAGGTGGGCAGCCCCGCCGAGCAGGCCGGCCTGCGCGCCGGCGACTGCGTCCTCGAGGTGAACGGCGAGGACGTGCTGGGCCAGCGCATCGGCGAGGTGGCGGCCAAGGTGCGCGCCGCCAGGGCCAAGCAGCGCCTGCAGCTGCTGGTCTGGAATGCCGGCTGCGACCCCGGCACCGCGGTCACGGTGAGCCACCCTCTTCCAATCAATCTTGTTTTCATCGGTGAACTTTTCCTTTCATCACTCACAATGCCTGCGAAGGAGGGTCAATGGCATAGCGCCCCCTCGCTGTCCCTCCGCGCAACCTGTCGAGGTGGCTGACCGTAGAAGTCTGCCTCGCATCGGGCCACGGAAAGGACCCGGTCACTGAGTTTGATGACATGAATTTCAAAACAAATCAATGCAGGCCACTTCCTTCATGATGGCGAAGGCGTCGCATAGGAGGTCATCCCCTCGGGAGACGGCAACTGAGAGTGCAGCGACATTTCGCCGTGTCTGTCGGGCTGCCTTGTCGGCCAGTGGGACGCTCCATTGTCTCCTTGGCCGGGCCGCGCTGCATCCGCACTCGCCGAAAAAGTAAACCACCCCGCTAATCATCTGGTGCCCCGGACGGTAATCGCCGCCAAATCCTCGCTCCCAAATAAGACCCGGCTTTGTGACGCACGTAACAACAACAGGTTTTTCGCTCTTCGGCGGCCATGCCGTGGCAATTACGATCCTGCCCGCCCTTTCACCGCCGGCAGTGAGCTTCTCTTCCGTCCCTCTCGCGCGCACGGGGCGTTCCGAGGGGTGCGAGAGAGACGGAAGCTGGGCCCCGCGACCGCACGGTGCACGGCAGGGCCACTGCAGGGCCACGGCAGGGCCGAGGCTGCTGCACCGGAGCCAGCCAGCAGCGCCATGCGTGGCGCCCCAAAGGCCGAAGGGCCCACTCCACAGTGGGCCAGAAGACCGGTGGAGGCGGCCGAAACTCTAGACGCGTTTTGAGCTCCAGAATCGCTAAATGGGACTCGAACCGAGCGTGTGACCCCACCAATGGATTGCTCTCCGAACGAGGAATCCATTGGTGGGGTCACACGTTCGGTTCGAGACCCATTCAGCGACTCTGGAGCTCAAAACGCGTCTAGAGTTTCGGCCGCCTGCGCCGGTGTTCTGGCCCACTGTGCACTCGGCTTGCCCAGGCGGCCGCTTTGCCTGGCTTCGCCTTAATCGCACAGGCTGGCGCCGCGCGCGGCCGCGGCCGTGGCTGCTGGTCCCTGGCGTTGTTGCCCAATCGCGTGGCCGCCCGGCCTGGCCCGGCCGCAACCGCGGGCATTGGGCCATCCCTCGGAAGGAAGTGGCACGGCGGATCGTTGTTATGCAAGGCTGCAGGCACACGTCGCCGAGACGAACCGACCGTCGAACCGCAGCGCGCCGCGCCGTACCCGCCAGGTACCCGCCGCACCGATGGCACTGCACTGTAGAGCTGCAGCGGTACGTTCGCGAAAAAAAAAAGAACTTTGTTGCGGTAGTCAATTCGGTTGGACGGGTGCAGTCGAAAATCCGGTATACTCACCACCTAAAGCTTGAAACGTGTGTGTATGTGTGTGTGAGAGAGAAAGAGAGAGAGAGTGAGAGAGAGAGAGAGAGAGAGAGAGAGAGAGAGAGAGAGAGAGAGAGAGAGAGAGAGAGAGAGAGAGGAGAGAGAGAGAGGAGGAGAGAGAGAGAGAGGATGAGGAGCGGAAGAATGACGAGGAGGTGCAAAGGACGCGTTTAGCAAAACAAGCTTCGAAGTCGATATGATGCCGCGCGCGTCGCCGCGTCGCCTCGTCACCGATCGAACAAACACTGCTGCACTGCGTTGTCGTCTTCGGGGGTGTGAGGTGTGTCAGCGAGGCGCGTGCGCCCCAACTCGGCGCGTTACAGTGTAGTGTAAAGACAGTGTGGGGAACAGGGATGGCGGGAAAGGAAGCAACACCGCAGGCAGGCAGACGGAAGGAACGGATAGCTTTGCCTGGAAGCGCTGCTGGCAAGCGCAGGGCTGCCTGGCTGGGCTGGGTTGGCTGGCTGCTCCGAAGCAGGATCCAGGTCACCGTTATGTCACGAGCCTTTGGCTTGCCTTCGGCTCGGCTCGGCTCGGCTCGGCAGAGGACCGAGGAGTGCGACAAAGGCAGCAAACGCATTGGCCATTATGTCATCAGGAATTATTGCACCCTTCCCCGCGCGTGAAAGTGAGTGCGTGCGCGTGTGCATTTTGTGTACGAGTGTGTGTGTGTGTGTGTGTGTGTGTGTGTGTGTGTGTGTGATGCACACGCGCGGGTGAGTTTATTTTTGTTGTGCACCGAGTATGGTTTATGTGTTTGTTTCTCGGGCCGCGCTAATTTCACTTTACGCTGCGTGTCATAGTCAACTTCTCGGCGCGGTCAGTGTTACTCCACTGGCGGTCGCGATTTTTGCGCGTTCGTCTTCAATAAACGGGAGCGGGTGACTGCAGCGTTGACATGTCGTCACTGTGCACTGATGAAAAAACAAAAAAAAGGGTAGCAGTGAAAAAAAAATTGAAATAAAAAAATAAAATAATCCGTGATTGAGCCACTGATCCAGCAACATTCCGCAGTAAACACTTTTAACGGCCTCCCGTTGCGAAACGAGTGTGCTGGAATATGCGTCGCGTCACGCGTACGCGCCGCGACACGCACACGTGTGGGAGAGGAGCATCACTCATGTCAGTGCCACTGCCGTCGTGCCTCGGCTCGGCTCGCCCCGATACACTGGTTCAAACAGAATGGAAATAAGAAGAGTAAATAATATTGGCTGGAAGCACCGGTGGCGCGTCGGCGAGACGTGCCTCGCCGGGCGTGCGTTTGACGTCACGACGTCGTGCCGACTGGAGCGTCCGCGCCACTGGAGGTGGTCTCGTCCTCCTCGCCTCGACCTGGACAAGACCTGGAGGCCTGGAGTCCCATTCGTCGCTCCGTCTCTCTCGCACTCACGGGGCGTCCCGCATGGGTTGGAGAGGGACAGAGCGACGAAGCGACGAGTCTGCCCGTCCTGGAGGGTGAGGGTCATGATGGGACCGGTTGGGCGGCGGCCCCCGTGCCGCCCGCCGTGTTCATATTTACATCTTGGACGCGACACTGTTCTGGACGTCAAATCAAAACAAACGGACGGCGGGGAGGGGGAGTCGAACCCAGGACCGTCGTCGCCGCAGGGCCGACGCAGTGGCGGCTTGTTCGGCCCCACACAGTGGGCCAGAAAACCGGTGGTGGCGGCCGAAACTCTAGACGCGTTTTGAGCCCCAGAGTCGCTAAGCAGGCCTCGAACCGAACGTGTGACCCCACCAATGGATTCCTCGTTCGGAGAGCAATCCATTGGTGGGGTCACAAGTAAGGTTCGAGGCCTGCTTAGCGACTCTGGAGCTCAAAACGCGTCTAGAGTTTTGGCCGCCTCCACCGGTCTTCTGGCCCACTGTGCTCCAGAGCCGCGAGTGCTGACCACACACACCACTTAGCAAGAGGAAGCTCTGCGGGTATTTGAACCCGCGGCCGTGAAAAGGCGAGGCTATTTAGTCGCCATTAGCGCGTACACTGTACGTAGTACCTACACTGTACACTGCGGCCGCGGTAATCACCATTTCGCACCGAGTTGCGACAGGCGGGCCGCCCCTCGGACGCGAATAGTGTTGCAGCGTCGCAGAATAGTGTTGCCATGTGGGAGTGAAAGTGGACGGGGTGGCTGGGCGGACTGGGGCCTAACAGTGCCCGGATGGGGTTGCTTTGGGGACGTGACTCGAACCTGCTCCAACCCCGGGAGGTCTGCGGAGACCTAGCGTTGATGGGGCTAGGACAGAGAACCGCGCGCTTACACTGTTTCATTTTCGGTCAGCACGACTAAACGCGAGGATTGTCAGTCATGTACAGCTAAAAGCAAGAATTTTTATAACCCAAAACCCGAGGACTTGCGACGAAATTTGGGTTTGTCGTCATGAACTATTTGTTGACAGGGAAACTGGCCGTTCCGTTGTCATCAGGGAGTCCCCCACACTGCGAGAAAAAAGTATACGGAAAAAGTACGGAACATGTCTGGTCAATAGCTTAAGGGACAAGCACGGACGTTCCGTACTTTTTTCCGTACTTCCGTACCATTTTCGTCAGTACATTTTCCGTACAAAACTACGGAATTTTTTTTATAGTGGACGGACGCCCCAACTGCGTTTGCCCAATCGTTGCATCACAAAACGCGTCTTCTTTGCTCTCGAGAACAGAAAAGCCATAAAACGGCGCTTACAACTTGCGGCGCGCAAATTTTTATAGCGAATCCGAGAGGCGGGTGAGATAACAAACGCCAAGAGAGCCACTCAAAACGTAAAGCGACCGCCAGAGTTAATAAAAGTCGAGCCGGTTTTAAGGACTGCATTGCGAGGACGTTCAAGTCCGCGTGTGAGTTTGTGTCGATGGAGGAGGGGGTTCTTTCTCATGAGTGTGCGTGTTCTTACGTGCTACAGATAATAATCCATCGACGAGTACGGATCACTAGCCCGCACATGAATCGGGAAATGGACGCATTAAAATATTCAACCCAAATAGGACTCGCGCGCAAAAAAAGACCCCCAAAAGAAACAAAAGGCGGTTGACTGACTGCTTTTGGCCTAAATTAAGCGGGCCAGTCCAACTCGTTTGCCACCGCACGCCGCTCGACCCGATGGCTCCAAAGAACAAAGACGAATCGCTCCAAACTTTGACGTCACTTCCCGCTGTGACAGGTGAGAGGAGGTGAAGGGGTATGACGTCACAATTTTGGAGACAGGTCTTTCTTTTGTTCTTGGAACCCATAACCCATAGCCGGAGCGCCAGAAAATTATTCAAACGGATTAGAGGGGCGTTGTTTGTTTTGCTGAGGGGGGGCCTCCTCGCAGAGGGTCTCGAGGTGCTGGGCCTTCCCCGCGCTGAGGTCGCCCTGGTGGTACCGGTCGCACCAAGCTGTCAAGAGCGGGCCAGTAGGGTCTTCTCGTCGCTCTGTCTCTCTCGCACCTACACAAGGACGCCCTGTGACTGCGAGAGAGACAGAGCGACAAAAACGACTCTCGGAATCAGTCTGCGGAGCGGCAGAGCTGGTACACCTTTTACCGCCACCTTGGGACTTGCTGCCGCTTGCTGCCCCCTCCTCCCCTCCCATTGGACTGCAAAGTGCCCCGATCGGCGTACTTGCAGGCTGAGTCCGAGCCGCTCGCTTCCCCGTCTCTGTCGCACCCACACGGGACGCCCCGCGAGTGCGAGAGAGGCGACGGAAACGACTCTCGGAACGAGACCGCTCTCCTGCGCCCCACTGCGCCACACACGTTTTGCTCTGCTCTACATACACGTGACACTTTTCTCACGCAGCCGCGGCGGCAGCGGCGGCAGGCCCACTGCGAAGCCGCGCTCCCCCGTCGCTCCGTCTCTCTCGCACCCCCCGCGGAGCGCGCCGCGCGCCGTGAGTGCGACAGAGACAGGGCGACGAAATTCGCGCGCGTACTGTTCGGATGGCGGAGCCGCGGAGACGTGCGATTATCACTGGTCGAGGCAGTCGGCGTCTATTTTTGAGGCTTTGCTTTGGAGACTCGTTGCTCGCTCGTTTGGCCGTCGGAGTGACGCACCTTCGCGAAGGACCGCTCGGACCGCGGCGGTTCACAGTGGGCCAGAAGACCGGTGGAGGCGGTCAAAATCCCGGATGCGTTTTGAGCTCCAGAGTCGCTAAACAGGACTCGAACCGAACGTGTGACCCCACCAATGGATTCCTCGTGCGGAAAGCAATCCATTGGTGGGGTCACACGTTCGGTTCGAGTCCTGTTTAGTGACTCTGGAGCTCAAAACGCGCCTTGAGTTTTGGCCGCCTCCACCGGTCTCAGGCCCACTGTGCGGTCGCACCTCGACGCGCACAGAGCTTCATTTCACTGGCACGCCACTCGCCTCTCCAGCGAGCTCTCCAGGCTCCAGCGTGCGCGGCGTGCGTGCGCTCGTTCGACGTGGAACTGGGTCAAACACGCGACCGAACATCGCACAGGCGAAGTAAAGGATTTGTGGCTTGCACACAACTAAAGCGTAGTATTACCCTCTGTTTTCAAGCGTAATCAGGTTACGCTTGAAATCAAGCGTAACAGCCTCATCCGCCAAGATTCCCCCTATCTAAATGCATGGGGGAATTTCCAGAGTATGCTTCATTTCAAGCGTAACGTCTTCAAGCGTAACTCTATGCTTGACTCAAGCATAGAGTTACGCTTTAGTTTTACCAGTGCAGCGACGCTCCGAATCCGACGCTCGTGTGGCGCTGGCCCAGAACACATTGATAATCCCCGACGTCCCGAGCAGCGGTTTCGTCATTCTGTCTCTCTCGCACGCGTGCCGACGGTGCGGACGCCCCTACGAGTGCGAGAGAGACGGCACACTGTCCGCGGTGATCGCCTGGTTGCCTGGCAACACGAAGCAACACTCGCGAGTGACGTCAGCGAAAAAAGAAAGACGCTGATGAGGTGAACAACTCTGTTAATAGTCTGCCTTCGACGGCTGCAATCGGCTAGGCGACGCCTACGACCCAAAGCTACGTCGCTGTAGCCGGGCCGCAACAAAGTCCTAGCTTGGTTTGTCCGCGTGCAAATGTTCTTCGGGGGCGCTTTATTTTCGACTGCAGCTTGGCCTATCGAACCGAGTTGATTACCACATTAAAGTCTCTTTCTTTTTCGCGCTGCCGGCGCCACCACACTGGCCAGTCGCCAGACTCCAGCGGTCGCTCAATTTCGCGGTGGTCGAGCTTAGAGCGGCTGCGGAAAAAAAGGGAAAAAGGAGGAGGGAAAAAGGGGGAAAAGAGAGGGTCGGGGAGGAGGCGCGAACCCGTGACAGTGACGTTGGCGCACTTGGCTAGCTTCGCTGCGCGTGGCCATCCACGTCCCGCGTCGCGTCCCCAAGGCGGCCACGGTCACCACACTGCTCGCCGCGCCGCACCACGCCACGCCACGCCACCACATACCCGAAAGGGTGTAATTGTCCAGCAAGTTCCGCCGCATGCAGCAGGCCGCTTCCGAACACCGGTGTCGTTCTGTCTCTCTCGCACCCGGGCCGCTGCCGTGTACGCGAGATGCACTGAAATAGGCCGCGTGCCACGCGGTTCACGTCGCACAGTGGGCCAGAAGACCGGTGGAGGCGGTCGAAAATCCCGGACGCGTTTTGAGCTCCAGAGTCGCTAAACGGGCCTCGAACCGAACGTGTGACCCCACCAATGGATTGCTCCCCGGACGAGGAATCCATAGGTGGGGTCACACGCTCGGTTCGAGTCCTGTTTAGTGACTCTGGAGCTCAAAACGCGTCTAGAGTTTTGTCCGCCCCCGCACCGGTCTTCTGGCCCACTGTATTTCTACGACGCAGCGCGGTCCTTCCACCCCGTGCATTGCGCCCCGTGAGCCGTCGTCGGGTAATTGGCGTCACGCGAAGCGCCTGTGACTAACCTAACCTTGCCGCGTCCGCGTCCTTGCCTGTCCTGTCGGCGACACCTTCCTCGCGCCACTTTGCCCCCCACTCCGTTTTTTCGTCTCGTCCTGTTCGCGCGCAGCGATGGCCATAACCTCTCTCTCTCTCTCTCTCTCTCTCTCTCTCTCTCTCTCTCTCTCTCTCTCTCTCTCTGTCTCTCTCTCTCTCTCTCTCTCTCTCTCTCTCTCTCTCTCTCTCTCTCTCTCTGGGGCTCTCGATCGCGGAGGATGAATCGCATCAGCGACGGGGCGACATGAGCGGCGCGATCTGAGTCACGGAGTCGCGGCGGTCGGTCCGGTGTCCGGTCGTCATCAAAAAATGTCGTTTCGCAAAGGCGCCGCCGCCGGGCACCCGGTGCCAGCGCGCCGGCCACGGTTCGCGATGCTTCCCGACGGTGCCGTGGCGGCCACCTCGCGGTAGGGCAGGGAGGTCGAAACCTGGGCCGACCCCTGCGCCCTGCGTGTCGCCCGGCTTGCTCGGCCTGCTCAACGTTCTGGTCTCCGGCCCCAACAGCCCCTTCGGCCGGCTGGAGTACTGACCGAACCAGGACCGAAGCGCGGGCAATAACACCCGATGTGCAGGGGAACGACCTGGGCCGGGATCTTCCCTTGCCAGCCCGACGATGCACAGTGGGCCAGAAGACCGGTGGAGGCGGCCAAAACTCTAGACGCGTTTTGAGCTCCAGAGTCGCTAAATGGGACTCGAACCGAACGTGTGACCCCACCAACGGATTGCTCTCCGAACGAGGAATCCATTGGTGGGGTCACATGCTCGGTTCGAGTCCCATTTAGCGACTCTGGAGCTCAAAACGCGTCTAGAGTTTTGGCCGCCTCCACCGGTCTTCTGGTCCACTGGTGCGATGTTCGCTTGCAGCCAATCACAGCGAGGTGTGCTTCTTGTTGCAGCTGACCGCGGGCTCCGCGCCGACGCCGCTCAACCTGCAGCTGCTGAGCTCGTGCCTGCAGCAGGCCAGCCAGCTGCTGGAGTGCCCCGTGTGCCTGGAGGCCGTGTCGCCGCCGGTGTGGCAGTGCTGCCACGGCCACTTGCTGTGCTCTGGGTGCCGCGCGCGCTCCGAGCGCTGCCCGCTGTGCCGCGTGCCGCTGGGTCCGCGCGGCCGCAGTCTGCTGGCCGACAAGCTGCACGACCTGCTGAGCCAGACGCAGCGCCGCTACAGCGAGCAGCGCCAGGGCCAGGCCGCGCAGCCCGCCAAGACCCCCGACGCCGAGGCCGCCGACGACACCTCGCCGACGACGCCCGTCTGCGAGGCGCCGCGCGCGCACGTGCAGCAGCGCGGCCTGCGCCTCACCGCCTCCAGCGAGGACCTCTCCGACGTCGCGGACGCCGTCGCCGAGCTCGCCCTGCCCGCCCTCGACGTGGCCGTGCCCCCCGCCAACGCGCGCGCCCGGTCGCAGTCCGCCGGCCACATCGGCGCGCACGTCGCCAAGGCCGTGTCCGAGCGCGCCGGCGGCCTGGTGCACTGCCCCTACGGCTCCACCTGCAGCAGCACCTTCCCGGCGTCCGAGGTGTTCCAGCACCTCAGCGAGGTGGGTGTCTGGCTATCACTATCGCCTTGTCGCCAACTCGTTTCGCGGCGGGAGGACGGCCTCTGCAGAAGCGCGGACAATGCTCACTTTGAGGCATTGACGTCAGGACGGTCTCAATGACAGCTACTCGCTCACTCCCATGGACCGCGCCATTTAGACCAGACGGGGAGGCGACCACCTTAGACCGCCTCCGCGGAAGCAAGGAGAGGAACACAGCCGCGGACGTGAGGTGTGAACAAGGAGCCCGACGTGCTAATGCACGTGCAGTACATTCGCTACGAGTGTTGACCAGAGCAAACTCACACTCCCCTACTACACACACACACATACATACACAAAACTACACACCTCCACACACCCATCCTCTGACAGCATGTCACGCACGCACTCACACACGCACACTTGTGTGCCGAGCCCCAAATAAAATACAGTAAAGGGGAGACCGGTTTGCGCTGCGAATGTGAAGGATATTCCATGTCCATGCTGACGGCCAGGCGGCCAGCCGGACAGCCGGACAGCCAGTCAGGCAGTCAGGCAGGCAGGCAGTCAGGCAGTCAGGCAGTCAGGCAGGCAGGCAGGCAGTCAGGCAGTCAGGCAGTCAGGCAGGCAGGCAGGCAGGCAGGCAGGCAGGCAGGCAGTCAGGCAGTCAGGCAGTCAGGCAGTCAGGCAGGCAGGCAGGCAGGCAGGCAGGCAGGCAGGCAGGCAGGCAGGCAGTCAGGCAGTCAGGCAGTCAGGCAGTCAGGCAGTCAGTCAGGCAGTCAGGCAGTCAGGCAGTCAGGCAGTCAGGCAGTCAGGCAGTCAGGCAGTCAGGCAGTCAGGCAGTCAGGCAGTCAGGCAGTCAGGCAGTCAGGCAGTCAGGCAGGCAGTCAGGCAGTCAGGCAGTCAGGCAGTCAGGCAGTCAGGCAGTCAGGCAGTCAGGCAGTCAGGCAGAGTCAGGCAGTCAGGCATCGGCAGTCAGGCAGTCAGGCAGTCAGGCAGTCAGGCAGTCAGGCAGGCGTCAGGCGTCAGGCAGTCAGGCAGTCAGGCAGGCAGCAGGCAGGCAGGCAGTCAGGCAGTCAGGCAGTCAGGCAGTCAGGCAGTCAGGCAGGCAGGTAGGCCGGCCGGCCGAGACGACCGCATGGCATGACGGTCTCCTGGCCAGCAGTGGACCCACTCCGAACGAGTACTTTCGTCGCGCTCTGTCTCTCTATCTCTAACGCTCGGCCCGCACGGGTGCGAGAGAGACGGAACGACGAGGCCCTGTTCGGAACCGGCCGGTGGCTGGACGAGCTGGGCGAGCTGGGCGAAGGGGGAGAGCCAGTCGAGGAGAGGGGGCGGTGGCGCAACCACCGTCCGTGTAAATCTGCACGTATCTCCAGTGGGTCAGCCCCCCTCCCCCTCCCCCTCGCCCGGCGTGCATCTTACCGCCTGCGGGGCCCCCGTGGACCGAGCTTGAGATGCGCACGCTAGTTGGAACGCTTCGAACGACACATGCGTTCCAGTCGGCTCCAGTTTTGACACGCCTTGACAGTCAAAGGCACATGCTCTCCTGACAGCGGCCGCCGACGGCCACGACCAACTGACCCGTTGAAATAAGAACAAATCCTTATCAATTTCTGGCTGCGAGTTTGATTTTTTTGGCGGGACTTTTCGGCTTTTCTCTAGACTCTTCTACGGATACCGGTCGCGCTGTGTTGGGCTGCTTTTTTCTGATCGGCGCTGCGGTTATCAGTGTTTTGGAAGGCCTGACGGTGAGCCTGATGGTGGAACTTGTTGCTCCAGGACCACGACGGGCCGCTGACGCAGTACTTCCCGCGCGAGGGCCGCGCGCTGTCGCTGCCGCACCCGGGCCACAGCCAGGCCGGCCAGCGGCGCCACAGCCTCACCGTGCTCACCACCAAGGCGGGCGAGTCCCTGTTCCTGCACGAGGAGCGCGGCTGCCTCTGGCTCTGGACCCTGGCCGTGGCGGCCGACGACGCCCCCGCCGCCACCGACGCCGTGCCCGCCGACGTCGTCCCCGAGCCCTTCCTCTGCGTGGACTTCCCCGACGCGGTTTCCGGCCACACGATGGTGCCCGTGTTCCCGCTGTCGGCGTCCTCCGATGACGTCATAGCCTCGGGGCGCTGCGTGCACGTGCCCGACAACGAGGTGCTGCGCATCAGCGTGAGGGTGGGCCGCGACGCGCCGCCGACCACGCCGTCGAGCACGCCGTCGAGCACGCCGTCGGCGCCCCCGGCCCTGGTGCGGACCGCAGCCGTGAGCTAGCAGGCAACCCAAAACGCGTAGCCCTGCGCGGAGACCGGCGTTACTGGAGTACTGCCTCGGCCCGGCCCGGCCCGGGCGGGGGACTGAGTCGGACCGACGCGCAGCCCAAGGTCAACGGGATCCACCTCGTACTTACGGCCCAACCTGCGTGCCTGCCTGCCCACCGCGGCGGCCTGCCCACCGCGGCCTGGCCACCGCGGCCCGCCACGTCCCCGTCATGCACGAGGCGAAGCACGGCGAAGTGTCTGGCGTCACGGCGAACCGATCCCGGCGCGGCCACCGCCACTTTTTATTCAGTCAAGTAGTCCCAAAATGTTGACTGACGAATGGGCGAGTTCGCCTGTGGGGCGACGTTGGCAGGAGTTTGTTGTTGAGCGTTGCATTTCTGTGATATTTAAATGATGTGCCCAGATAGTGGCATCCATTTGAGCGGGTCTTCGTTTTGCATGTGTTTCATTTTCCTATTTTATGCAAATGAAATGACTAGATTTTGTAATAACTATATTTGTGATTAAAAAAGTATATTTTACAGAGCTGTTAATCACTTGATTTTATTGAACCTTTCCCGAGTGAAGTTTTGATAATCGCAGTCCAAGATAATTCTGGGGTTGCCGACCGGCTGGTCAAATCGGGACTGACTTTTCCACTCGTGGTCAAAGCCCTCCTGCCGATCTGCTCCACGAGCTGGAACTCTTCGATAGGCAACCATTCCGACCTGACGTCGAGACAGACGCAAGGCGCCTAGTGGGTAGGCAACTTATTTGACAACGGGCCGCGAGCGCAGCGCGCCGGTTGGATAGGCAACCCATCCGACGTGACATCCCCAGGCGCCCACCGGGTAGGCAACCCATTTCGCAAGTCTTGCACGCCGGGACCATAGGCCACCCAACCTGCACGCTAATCGCGGAGCTCTGGAGCCGCCGGGAGGGCAGGCAACCCAACGGACGCGTCCTCCGGCAGTCAGAGAGCGCCCGAGAGGTAGGCCACCCATCGGGCGGGGAAGAGGGCCCTGATCCACCGCAGCCAAACCAAGCCTCCTTTGAATCATTGAAATACGGCTGCCTCGTGTCTAATATTCTGCAGGAGACAGTAACAGTGCACTATCAACTTCAAAACGTGGTTTTTAAAAATATCGGAAATGAGAGGAGGAAAATCCATACGAAATTCTCAGGAAGAAAGTTGTCAAGCGCAAACATTGCTACTTTGAAACCAATCATATTTGTGAGACGTGAATTCTCCAAACTCAGCTATTGAAATGAAAATGAATGATGTGGGGATTAATGGGCTGTTCCACTTCCGCGCAACACCGTGAACGTGTGTGTGTGTATGTATGTGTGTGTGTGTGTGTGTCCACCGCAGGGCGTGGGAGATTCCACTGAGCGCTTCCTCTGCTTCCAGGGGGCTAATTCAATTAGACGGTTATTGGCTGCCAGCATATGGAATGGGGGAGGGGGGGGGGAGTGGGGGAGGTCTCACGGGAATAGTCACTTGATCGCGGCACCGCGCTTCGCGGCGCGCGGGGGATGCGCGCCTGGGGTGCGTCCCGTTACTGGTCTTGTTGATGTCCTTGTTGTTGTTGTTGGTCTCGCGGCGCGGCGGTGGCCGTTGGTGCTCGCTCGCCTCGATAGCGGTCGTGTTTCACTCCGACTCCGGGCCGCGGCGGGGCGGGGCGGGGCGGGGCGGGGTGCGGCGGGCACGTGCAGCTTGTTGACCGAGCCAATAAGGCGGAAGGGTTGTAGGTCCGCGGCGTCCGTCACTCCGTGACTTTGGTGGCGACGGCCGGGGTGGGGTGGGTTAGGCTCGGTGCTCTGTCTCTCTCGCACCCCCTACGGGACGCGCCGCGAGTGCGACAGAGACGGAGCGCCGACGGCGAGGCCAAGGGCTGGCGCAGGGTGTTTGAGCGCCTCCGTTTTGACCGATGGACAAGCTTTCAAACTGACAAGCTACGCCTCCCGCCGGCTTCGGCTCCCACGTGTATCCACTGTAAAGGTGGGACGGGGTGGGCAGCCACGGCGGGGAGCGGTTTTCATCCCTAGGAAAAAAAGGAGTGTAATGCAAACCGAACAGGACAAAAGCAATTTCGAATAAATGAGAAAAATGATGATCGATTTTGCAGTGGCTCTTCCCTTCCACCTTCATGCTGCATAGCCAATGTTAAATGCATGAGCCATTCATTCTCCTCGCGCCACTCCTCATTATTGGGTTTGCGTTAGTGTCACTTGGCCGAGTGCCACATACAATTTGTATTTTTCTCTGCTCCCGTTTCACTTGATCAATTTTACGAGGCGCATCTCACCTAAAAAAGGTGGCGCAATGGAACAACACAGGAACTGAGTACTTAAGTCAGCTAAGACTCCGCATCTGGTCACGAAAAAAAAACCTGACAAGATCACCACCCTTGGGGCATTGCGCGTCATCATTGTTTTAAACCTTACATATGCCCCTTTATATCCGGGCAACTAAGACAGAAAATTAATTTTCACGTCACACCTTGCCTCACTTAGCTGTGATACCTGCGTAAAATGCGTATGTTCATAAGTGTGTGTGTGTGTGTGTGTGTGTGTGTGTGTGTGTGTGTGTGTGTGGTCCCATTACACCGGGCTTTCAATTTGTCGTCGTAGCCCGCGGCTGTTTATCGCCCAATAGGCGAAGGCGCAGGTGCGGACAGCCTACTTAGGCTATGGCAGTCGGCTGGGCCGTCTCACGATGAACCACTTGCTGTGTTTTGACACATAAACTTTTCGGCTAGAATTTTGGGCAAACCATCATCCCTTTACACACCCGCACCAAAAGGGTTTGCAAAACTCAAAGTGGTTCGGAGCCGTTTCAAATTTTCAAATTTTTCACTTCTTGTAAAAAACACAAAAACAGTAAAATGCTAATTTTTGATTATTTTTTTGAGGGGGGGGGGGTATTACTCATGAAACATCTCAACCCAAAAAACATGCAACGTGGAAAAGAAACTGCGACTGGAATACGGCAGAGCGGGCGGGACGGAGATAGGCATCACAAGCCTTGTGCAGGGGGCATTACATTTTTGTAGTATCGGCTAAACCATTGACCAATAGCGCAGCGAGTATTTATTACCAGTTTTCCGACAGAGCTCGCGTACTTACACCCACCGACCGGAGAATAAATTGTGAACAGCGATAAAAGAATACAGATTGGGACGGCGAACTGCAACATGCATCTGGAGTTGGAAATCTCGGTCTATCGCTGCGTGGTGCGAAGGGGTGGGGGAAGCGTGAGCACCAGCAGTGTACCTTCCAATCGACAGCGAAGCGGACCCGCCCGAGTGGACCGCAACTTTACTTGGATTTTCGCAGCCCGCCTCCCTCTTCCGAAGCCATCCCCCGACGCTCCCCTCCCTCACCCTGCTCCCCTCGCTCCGCTCCCACACCCTCCCCCCCCTCCGCGGGCCACCCCTATTGCCGCCCTCGTCGCGCACCAGCATGGCGGTGGCCGCTCTTAAAAATACGTTCGACGCCACCCGGCCAAACAACGCGGTGCGAGCCAAGAGGCGACGCGGCGGACACCACCGCGGTTAGAAAGCACTCCACGCAGGGCGGGGCGCGCGGGGCGAGTTTGAAAAGTTTTAGGTTGCTAGTTGGACAAGCAAGGCTAGTGGCTACTGCACTGACAACCTGACGAAGTCGTCTATGCGGTTGGTGGATGAGACGGCTTCAGAGCAACGATTCAGACTTTTCTGTCTCTTTCGCCGCGCTGGCTGCGTCAGGGCCCTCCGTAGGGTCAATCCCCAGAAGGTTCTGAAGGCACCCGAGGAAAACAAGGCCTCGCTGCAAACACGCAGTTTGATCGTGAGCAACTAAACGGTCCACTCGGCCTCTGCTCGCGCTGTGACTTTTATTCTAGTGTCGTGGCAACAGTCCGCACACTGAGATTGCAGCGCGGCTTAGTTTTTCCCATACATGTTTGCCGCACTTGTGAACGCAAAAGCGCGCGCGCACACACACACTTGCCACCCGCACGTCACACGCACGCTCTCATCACCGCACTTGTCTGCTGCCAGATGGTCCATGGGGGGTCGCGCGGCCGGTCGGCGCGTGCCGCGAGGGTGGCGCGGCGTGGCGTGGGAACGGGGGATGGCACTTTCCCACGCCCAGCCCCTCCCCCTACCTCCCACGACCACCCCCACCCCACGCACTGACTCGCCTCCGCTCCCGCATTGGTTTGACACTCTTCCCCGAGCGGACATTCAACACGGTGGCGAAGCGGTCCGGACGCCGGCAATGCTGAGGGAAATTGACGCCATCTCTGCGGGCTGTTCCCTGACTGAGGCACTGCACCCAAACAATGACTTCTGGGATCACGCGAAACTTTTCATGTTTCTTCAACAATTTTTGTTTTTGACTGAAAATATTTTTTTTTTACAAAAACCAAGAAATTGTAAAATTTAAAAAAATACACTTTTCTGGGTGTGTGTGAGGCCCGGCGAACTGGTGCCGAAATAATGTCACATTCTGAATACATATACAGGCCAAACAGCAATGTCCAGACTTGGCGTCCTCGCAAAACGCAGAGTATTTTGTTGCTTCATAAACTGTTCACAAAAACACCATTAGAAAAATAACAAAAAACGTAAATCTAAAATATTTGTTGAAAACATTGTGTAAGGAAAAGTGAAGTTTGCTTTTAGGGCGTGTTGCCACCTCGTTCACGTTATATTTCGGCCGCGGATGCAGGCGGTCGTCCCCTCCCTCCCCTCCCTCCCCTCCCTCTCCTCCCTCCCCTCCCTCCTTGCGCACACACAAGAGCGCGGTAGTGTGTTTGCCCTTGCTGCGCGGTGCTGCGCGGTGCGGGTGAACGCAGCGAGTGAGATACGTAAATTGACGGCTACAATAAAGAGGACACGTGCCGCGTGGGAACACATTACCACCCCCACCCCTCCCCCTTCTGGTGCAGTGAGAGTGGCATAGTTAGGGAGGTGGTTGCAGCCGCCGACCGTAGCTCTTCTTTCCCTCTTTTTCTCCGCATTTTCTCTTCTTTTCCCCTCTTTCCCTCCTCGAGTCCAGTGAAGAAGTCCGACCGTGGACTGATGGCGACGGAGTGGGACTGTGGCGCCATCTTCGGCGTCCTTGCCGGGGCAGTGCTCGCGGTGCTAGCAGTGCCGGGCAGACATTGAATTATCGTGTTACCGCGGCACCCCGGGCAGCGCAAACTTTGCAAGTCTTTTGTCTCTCTCGCGCCCCGACGGCCTGGCTGGCTGCCTTTCGAGTGCGGGAGGGACAGAGCGAGGTGTCCGTCTGTCTGGTGACAAGACTGCCCGCAGCCACTATCTGCTGGGCGGGTCCCGATATAAACAACTTAGTTAAGTGATGTGAGCTGACCGGCGGCAAGGCAAGGCCTAGGCCTGCAGCGCAGTCAGCGCAGCGCACATTCCTGGCCTAGGTCACCTGGACAAGGTGCCGCCCAGGAGCCGCCAGCCAGCAGCCAGCCAGCAGCCAGCCACCAGCACCCACGCAGACACGTTCAGTGTGGTTCCGCGTATCTTGATCGGCGGGGCCTTGCCTTCGGCATCGA